CCCCCCCCCCCCCCCCCCGATATCTATCCACCCTCCCCAATGAAAGTATGAAAACCTGTCTCTGGACTGTGCAATATATAATAACGTTGAGAGCATTGCAGCTTAGTCAATCTTACTCATCTTCTCATCTTATAGACAACAACAATTGAACTATGTGACAAAATACCAATGTGTACAAGCCAATCAAGTCCAACGTATTGTCATTTTTGAGTGTTCTAAAAATAGTTCAGTTGGATTTGCAGATGAAGTACCTGAAATGGTCAGTTTCAATTAGTTGTGTATTGTTAACAGAGTACTATTATACAAGAATTATTATACATTGTAGTTGGTAAAAGCAATTTGATTGGCTAAGAGCTTAAAGTTAAATCACTCGACCCACAGGCAGAAAATTCAATTATCAAATTAGCCTTTCTCACGGTGACGAATATCCGCCATTTTTGGGTGGCATCAAATTTTCATTATCCAATGCAGACAATTAAAACAATGTTTTTTAAAATAAACTAACAATTTACAAAGCAAATTTACCATCATTCGTCCAAAAAATTATAAAAAGTCACTGTTATGTGGACTTATCGCACAGACTTCAGCTGAAATGCCACCCAAAAATGGCGGCGTGAGAAAGGCTGATTAATTAATTCAATTATTAATTAATTCAATTATTATTATTATTAAATTAATTAATTTAATTATTATTAATTAATTCAATTATTAATTCAATTATTATTATTTAATTATTATTTTATTTATTAATTCAATTATTATCCGCTAGCAGGTAACTCAGTTATCTGCATATGAGCTTGCGATGATATTTAGCAAGTGGCATCTATTTAACCATAGACAATCCAGACGACATTCTCCAGATATGTTCTGGATTGTCTATGATTTAACACAAACAAATTACTGTGATAAAAAAATGATTGAATTCGGTTTTTGCAATATGCAAAATTACCAAGGTCTCTGTAAAGCTATGTTTACACGCTGCGATTAATCGTGTACGATTCGTTTTCTGGCGTTTTCAGTTGAATTTTTTCTTAACAAAACAAAAAATAAATTATGGCGCCAGCACTCATTTTAATACGCCAGAATACGAATCGTGCACAAAATCCTAGTGTGTAAACGTACCTTAATTTTTCTCTACTTTCAGCCACTTGGCCAAAAAGTAAGGCCAAAAAGTAAGGCTATGGCCTAAACTTTTCGTCCATTTTCAGCCATTTTTTTGATTTTTCAAAAAGGGCCGAGAATTGGCAAAAAAGTAAGGATATAGCCTAAACTTTTCGACGATTTTACCGACTTTTTCATTTTTCATAAATGAAAAAAAAAACACAGCAGAGAAGTAAGACTATTATAGCCTTTACTTTTCGTCGATTTTTCAATTTTTGAAAAAGAGGAGAAAAAAACAGCCAAAAAGTAAGGGTACAGCCTTAACTTTTCGTCCATTTTTAGCGACTTTTCCATTTTTCAAAATTAATGGGTAAAAACAGAAAAAAGTAAGCCTTAACTTTTCGTCCAATTTAGGGCCTTTTTCATTTTTTTTATAAATGGGCAAAAAACAGCAAAAAAGTAAGGCTATATATAGCCTTAACTTTTCGTCCATTTTTAGCGACTTTTCCCGTTTATCATAAATGGGCAAAAAACAGCAAAAAAGTAAGGCTATAGCCTTAACTTTTCATCCATTTGGAGCGACTTTTGCCATTTATCATAAATGGGCAAAAACCAGCAAAAAAGTAAGGCTATAGCCTTAACTTTTCGTTCATTTTTAGCGACTTTTGCCATTTTTCATAAATGGACAAAAAAACAGCAAAAAAGTAAGGCTATAGCCTTAACTTTTCGGCCATTTTTAGCGACATTTGCCATTTTTCATAAATGGACAAAAAAACAGCAAAAAAGTAAGGCTATAGCCTTAACTTTTCGTTCATTTTTAGCGACTTTTGCCATTTTTCATAAATGG